TTTGTCACGTGGAGTCCACCCTAGACTCACCTGGTAAATGAGGTCACCATCTGTTAGCTAATTAGCTTTATCCAAAGGAAAAGCAACCCTCTCTTATCTTTAAGCCGGGGAGGTAGTTTTGCAACTTGAAGTGTAGGCTCCCCCTCTCCCACTCAAAGGGATGGCTCCTGAAAAAGACATTCCTGAGCTTTATTTGGCTTTAAAAAAAATGTGCATACATCTCAAAGAGACAGCAAGCATTTAAAATTGCAAGTCCCCTTAAGTTAATGCTCTAAAAAAAAAAAAGGAAGGGCAGTGAAGTCTCCTTTATTTTCAAGAGGGAGCATCAACACCCCTTTTATTCTCTCTTTTTCCCTCTCTCTGCAGTACTGGGGTTGGAACCCAGGGTCTTGCTCAGGCTGGGCAAGTGCTCTACCACCAAGCCACACCCCCAAGCCCTTCCGTCTCATCTCTTAATTTGTTTTTGCTTTTACAGATCCAAGAAAGTGGCAGCAAAGGTCAACATGTGCCAAGGCAAAAGCCTCGTGCCTAACAATCTTGTCATTCCTGTTCGTCTTCCAGTCTGGTAATAGGTCCCCACTTACCGCCCTCTCTCCTACCCAGATGAAAAGTCAGGATGTTCTAGAAAAAGTACATGTGACTTTTTGTTGCAAAGGATGCCTGAAGTAGAGATTGGTGCTGCCATTTTGGCTCTTACGTCGATGAATCTCTTGGTGTTCTCTATCTTGGATTTTATTCTGGACAGTTTAGAAGACCTAGGGACTCCCTACCATGACACCCAGTTCCCTGGCCTTAATTAATTATTTGTTCTTCATCCAAGTATTTCATGAGCAACTCATTATCTCACATTATTCTAGGCTTTTTTTTTAAATATTTTTTTAGTTATAGATGGACACAATACCTTTATTTATTTGTTTTTATTTTTATGTGGTACTGAGGATCGAACCCAGTGCCTCACACATGCTAGGCAAGTGCTCTACCACAGAGCCAGCCCCTTACCATCCTCATATATCACTTGTTGAACAGCCCGGTTGAGACACTGAGAACAGTCAGCACCACAGGACTGGTTCAGAGGGAGGACTGACATGGGCTGGAATATGCAGGCCAGACTTTCTGGTGATGTAAGATCTGGGGATCCTGAAATAGTGGGTGGGATCTGATGAGGAGGTACAGACAGGCAAGCAACATAAGCCTATGGAAGGCCAGGTGTAGGCTTCCTAAAATTGTGTGCCCAGCAGAACTGCTGCCAATACTACCATCACTCTAAGGGCTGACTTCCCCACCCCAGCCCCCAACACGTCATAGCATATGCACAGAGAACATTAGAAACCCCAAGAGAAGGGCTGGGTACAGTGGCTCATGCCTATAATCCTAGCAACTTGGGAGGCTAAGGCAGGAGGATTGCAAGTTCAAGGTTGGCCTCAGCAACTTAGTGAGAACCTGTCTCAAAAAAAAAAAAAAAAAAAAAAAGCCTGGAGATGTAGCTCCATGTTAAAGGTCCCCTGGGTTCAATCCTCAGTACTGCAAAAAAAAAAAAAAAGATGTTCCAAGAGGGTGCACATGGCCTGTCCTTCACCAGTTGATGAGTGGAAGGCTGGCAGAGCTGCCCTTGGACTCTCAGACCTACCTTTCATCTTCGTCCAGAGAATTGTATAATTAATAGCCTAGAACCGTAGACTAGGTAATGCTATGTGGGTGACTGGACATTCAGTCCCTCTAAGCAGTGGTGGACCAGCAGGGAGCTATGGTTAACCTGCCGGGGCGTGGTTATTATATTTTGCTGCTATTATTCTTTTTCAGAAATTTTATCTGAAGGGAATTATGAAAGGAGACTTCCTGGGGTTTATTAGGACCGAGAGCATCTGTCTGCCTTCTAGGACTGCGGGTTTCAGGGAAGCGCTCAGAACTCAGAGCTACCCACTGGCCCTCCTGCAAGCCGCACACATGGGGGACTAGCCTGGGGGGTCTTGAGGTCAGGGAGGAGACTGACCTGGGTAACGTAGAGGGAGTGTCAAAGACCAGGGAAAAGACTGCCCATGGCATGATGGGGCAGCTGTGGTGACCGTCTGTGCAGACCAATGGTGTCAATAGGGTGGACCTCCATCAGTAGACGCCCCTGGTCTTCCTCTGCCCTGTCTCCCTTCCTTCAGGCTCCCCCTCCTTCCAAACACTGCACAGATTCTTCCTCAGCGCAGAGCTAACAGGTCGCCCTGCTGCCAGCTTCCAGGAAGGTTCCTGGCCTCACAGCAAAACAAGTTCATGACGTCTAGCCGCACAGATCACAGCTTGCCCATTACAAAGTCAGGGTTGTTCAGTAAACTACACCAAAAAAAAAAAAAAAAAAAAAGATATTTTAAAATGTCGCCGGGCGCAGTGGCACATGCCTATAATCCCAGTGCCTCCGGAGGCTGAGGCAGGAGGATCGTGAATTCAAAGCCAGCTTCAGCAATTTAGGGAGGACCTAAGCAACTCAGCAAGACCCTCTCTCTAAATAAAATACAAAAAAAGGTCTGGGGATGTGGCTCAGTGGCTAAGTGCCTCTGGGTTTAATCCCCAGTACCAAAAAAAAAAAAAAAGTATGCCACCTTTGTTCAAAAGGAAATCCTCAGTGACGGAAATGAAGAGGAAACCCACAGCCAAAGCAGTTAAGTGTAAGCTGAAACCCTGGAGATTTTAGAGGAGCCAATGGCTCCAGGGTCTGGCTAAGGTTATGACACCCGGGTAGGAACTGGAGCTGTGGCCTTTGGCTTGCTTTGAGGAGAGAAGATGTTGATCTGAGCTGAGGAGAAAAACAAGAGCACCAAAGAGATGCTTTCCTTAAAAGGAGGTCAGAAAATGCTGCCCACCAGCTCAGGAAAGTATGAGGAAGCAAATTGTCTGACTTGGATCAGAGATGCAAAGAAAAGATATAAATCACCTGTCAGAAATAAACCCTCTGGGACCTGCGGAATGGGTGCTGAGTCCCAATTTCTACTACCCATGAGATCCAGAAGCCCAAATGGGGAAACCAACACTATATTTGGTCTAAAACAATTAAAATCTCTGGGATCCTAGAGATGCTAAGGAAAAAAACTCCTCTGTAGAGACACTGTCACAACCCAGGGCACATGGAAGTCACACAGGAAAAGCAACTCCTACTGAAGATGAGCTCATAATAAAGAAGTGACACATCACATGAGAAAATGAGCCTCCAGGAGCAGAAGCCAGCAGTTGCCTCCGCAGGTTCTCAGCATCTCAGGGAGCTCACATTCTGGATGATGGGAAAGAAGCTGTCACCCGAATGCAAACCCCAGCCCTCCCAGGCTGCACTTCCTGGTCCCCGGCTGCCTTCTGTGCTCACCTTCTCTGTTCATAGCATTCCAATCCCTATTTTCATGCAGGATCAAGATCTTGAACCATCTCCAAATTCTTCCTCTCTCAACTTCTTCCCTTAAAAATACAATTTTCTCCTCTCTGCCTCTGCCTCTCTTCTATTCTGCGATGGTCACCCAGCTGGTTTCCCTGCTTTCCCATCTCCCCCTTTTCTCTTTATCTCACCCCCACACCCCCATTAAGTTATCCTCCTAAATGAAACAAAGCTCCATGATTTTTGCATCTCTGAGCCAAACTCCTAAAATATGAAAGTCCAAACAGCCCTTCTCAACTTGGACCTTAACTTCCTTTCCAGTTTCATCTCCTATTACAACATCACCTTCTCCCTCCTCACTCCAAGCCCCTGTTCCAGGTACACCATCTTACTTATTCTCCCCGCACCCACCCACCCCATGCTTCTGTTCAGTCTCTTCCCTTTGACTAGAATGTCCACCCCCCGCCCCAGCCCATCTGCTGATGGAAGGCCTTCCCTGCTTAAACCTTCTAGAAGCATGATGTGGAAGAATGCAGGCATCAGGGATAGAACTATTTGGTTTCAATTCCAGTTGTTTCTAATTATTTAAAATGGGAATGATGCCCACTTTGCAGGGAGTGAGAATGAGAGATGGTCTCTGTAAGACACCAAGCACAGAGCCTAGCGCCAGCACTAGGCATCTGGAACCAGAGTTCCCTGAGACCCTATCTCATTCATCTTTGCATCCTTTGTGTCTAATAGAAGAAACTTTAAAGTATGTTGACTGATGAAAAGTAGAAAGAACAAGGCATGCCAAAGCTGGTAGAAGGGAGGAATGTGGGTAAAAGATCTCAGATGTTAGAGGGGACTGAGGTCCAACTTACATTGTGATGCTCCAAAGAGGACAGAACCACCACCAGGAGCTATAAGAAAGCTGATCTTTTTTTTTTTTTTTTTTTTTTTTTAGTTTTAGGTGGACACAATATCTTTATTTTATTTTTATGTGGGGCTGAGAATTGAACCCAGTGCCTCACACATGCTAGGCAAGTGCACTACCGCTTGAGCCACATCCCCAGCCCTGAAAGCTGATCTTTTTTGCAAGGTGGTATTACTGAAGATTGAACCCAAGGCACTTTTATCTCTCTGTTACATGCCCAGTTTTATTTGTTTGTTTATTCATTTGAAACAAGGTCTTGCTAAGTTGCTGAGACTGGCCTCAAACTTGCATCCACCTGCCTCAGTCTCCCAAGTCTCTGGGATTTCAGGTGTGTGCCAACATGCCTGGCTAGGAAGCTAATTTTAATGCAGGATCCAAGGACCATCTAACATTTAGGCTGTTTCATTTGAGAACGGGTGTCAAATGCACACTTCTTGCCATTAAAAAACTCAGATAACAGAATGCATTCTGGGATTGGATGAAGGACAAAGCCAGATTATTGATCTTTACTTCTGGGAATCACAGATGTCTTTGAAAATCTGACAAAACTTATGGATGGCTCTCCTAGAAAAATGGCCCAAAGCATAATATTTTGCAAATAAGCTCAGGACCTTTGTGGATCTCAGGTAACAGGCACTTGGAAATCCTTTTAGAATACTGTGTTCAACTTTCCATTTTACTATCCGTTATGAGGGAGAAGGCACTGTGGTCATCCCTATCTTCAGAATTCATAACTCCTCTAAAACACTTGGTTCACATCTAAAAGCTCCTTTGCCTTTTTGTTTTGTTTTGTTTCTTGTTTTTTGTTTTTTTTTTTTTGGAACTGGGGATTGAACCCAGGAGTGCTTAACCACTGAGCCATATCCCAGCACCCCCTGGCCCCCATCCTTTTTTTTTTCCCGAGACAAGGTCTTGCTGAGTTGCTTAGGGCCTCACTAAGTTGCTGAGGCTGGCTTTGAGCTTGAGATCCTCCTGCCTCAGCCTCCCAGGCCACTGGGTCTTAAAGGAGGGTGGATTTTGGAAGCCCTTAATTCACAACTGCTTGCTTAGGGCTGGGGGCCCCAGTGAACTTCTATAATGCAGGTTCTGTGGCAGCCAACCCACCTGCTCTGGCTACCTGAACCAAGAAGGATAGTGGCACATACCCAGAGGCCATCAGGGAAAATCACTCATAATGACGGCAAATGTGTCCAGATGATACTCAAATTTGATCTTGAAACTTCTCCCTTTTATTGAACTTCCATCTCCCTTTATGTGACCACTTGTGGCTCCATTCACACTTGATAATGAGCTATTCAATGAAACATGCTGAGGGTTTTCTTTTCTTATTAGGGTACCATTATTCAAAGGATAAAATTGTTATTCAAAGATTTCTCAACATAAATACCACTGAAAATGAGTCCCGAGAAGAGAGCATCCTGCTGGAGAACAGAAAGACTTCTGGTTTGACCAACGGAGCTCAAGTTGCTCCAGGATCAGCTGCTTCTTCCGGTTCACAGGAGCCAAGATCAGCTGCTCCGGCCTGGTCAGGGTTTCTTGTGGTCCCTGTGCCCGGCCCCACCGCCTCTGAGCTGGAGACACAGGCGGCCGCGGGATTTCAGCAGAGCCTGCAGGCTCTTCCAGGCCTCGGGCAGCCCCTGGCCGCTGAGGGCGCTGCAGGCGCGGAGGTCCCAGCCGCGGTCCGCGAAGCACTCCAGGCCCAGCCTCCTTCGGATCTCCCGCAGCGGGAGGGCGTCCGGGGCCTCCTGCTTATTGGCCAGCACCAAGAAAGGGACACCCGTCATGTGGGGGTCCTTCAGGACTTCTTTGAGCTCACCCAGAGCTTCAGGCAAGCGGGCTTCATCGGTGCTGTCCAGCACGTACACCAGCACCTCAGTGCCTTCCAGATAGTCCTTCCAGCTTGCCCTGAGCTGAGCCTGGCCCCCAACGTCCCAGAGGATCACCGACTTATGCCCAGGAGCTTCAAGAGGCTCCACATTGAAACCGATGGTGGGCAGGGTCTCCACTTCCTGGTGGCCCTTCAGTCTGTACAGGAGGGTGGTCTTGCCTGCCCCGTCCAGGCCCATCATCATCACCTGGGCTTCTGCCTTGTGACTTCTGAAATGCACAGACCCCATGGTGGCCCCGCGCTAAGTCCCAGCGTGAAAGGCTTTAGACTTCCTGAAGGAACACAAACCCACACAGGCAGGGAGAGGAGCTTCTGCCCTACAGGAGGACCAGGGTTGAAAGGGCCAGCAAGTGAGGGAGCCTGGGTCCCCACCAGCTGGCTGACGGCTGGGGCCGGCTTCAGAGGAGAGTGGGAGGCCTCCTAGAAGACACAAAAGGTGGGCTCACGTTCCTCAGGAGTTAGAGCAAAGAGGGGAGATGGAGTTCCACTTAGACAGACCTAGTTCAGTCGAAGTTACAGAAAGAGGACTTCAAGGTCTGCTAAGTCTGTGGCCTCTGACCTCTCTGCTTCCTTTAAGCCTAAACCCGGAAGGGACAGCTCTGTGGTTTCCTTGCAAGGTGAAGAGGCCCCGCTAGGCCTGCTGACTTCCTCTACCTTGGACACCCCCACCCCACAGGCCCAGGCGGGTCCTGTCAATAGTGACTATTTATAACCATTATCTGGGGGCAAATTTATGACTCGCTGCCAACTGGTTTCCTCCACTGACTCACCCAGGCAAATGCTCTCCAGAACACTCCACCTGTTTTTAGAAGAACTCACACCAAGATAGAAGACCTGTCCCTGAGTTAGGAGAAACATGGGTAGGATAGGAAAAGGGACATCTCGCCTTTGAGAGTGTGTATTAGTGGCCTTGGAGGAAAATAAGATGCCTCTCTTCACTCCTGCCAAAGGTAGAAGAGTGAAAATTAAAATTACCTCAGTGTTATCTTTAGATGGCGGCAGAACGGTCCTCCTCCGGGGCTCTCGTCTACCATGGAGCTGCTGTCTGCTGGTCAGGCATGTCCCAAGAATGAGACATGAAGGAAGTGCTGTGGCTATTGCAATTTCTCCTTTTTCTGCTTCCTTTCCCTACTGGGGACATGCCACAGAGATGTCTGCAGCTCTTCAGCTCTTAGTGGAATCAGGCCCAGCCACAAATAATGTTTCATAGCAACTCAGATCCTATGCCTGAAGAAGTCTGTAGGTTCAGCTGCCTTCCTATTTATTTATTTATTTGTTTGTTTATTTTTGTGGCTCTGAAGATTGAACCCAGGGACTCATACATACTAGGTAAGTGTTCTACCACTGAGCTACACCCCCCCCCTTTTCAAAATTTTACTTTATTTTGAGACAGAGTCTAAGTTGCCCAGGCTGGCCTCAAAATTTGCAAAACTCAGCCTCCTGGATAGCTAGGATGAGGGAGGTGTCCTACCAGGCCAGGCTTCAGCTGCCTGCTTTTGCTCTTCCCCTCATAGTCCTGTGATCTCAGGGAGAGTTCTGAAAGTCTCTCTTCTTCCAGAATATGCATCAGTGTTTATCTGGTACCTGGAGATTCTTCTATTTGCTTGGGACTGTAGAAGTTGTCAGAATCAAAAGGAGTCACTATTGTCAAGACTTAACCATAAATAAATAAATACATAAATAGACAAAGAAGACAGAATGTCTTATCAGACATTTATGCTTAAATATCTGAGAAGAACTATTCACACACACAAACATATACACACACACACACACACACCATCACCACCACCAACAACAAAAAACTGCCAGAACCACAAATTCACACACACACCAAAAAATTTAAATAAATAAAAACAAAACAAAACAAAAAAAACCTGCCAGAACCACAAATTCACACACACACCAAAAAATAAATAAATAAAAACAAAACAAAACAAAAAAACTGCCAGAACCACAAATTCACACACAC